GTCTAGTCTATTCTTCACCTTTCTTGACCAATCACAGAGATTGTTTTTCTATCAACTAGAAAGCAAATTACATGTTTTCTGATGCTGGAATCACAGGGTCACAGGGTCATTCTTCCATTTCTTAGATAAGCCTAATTACCTATGTTTGTAAGAATAAACAGCACACTTGATGAGGGTATACGTAACTATTTGTTGAAGAAATTACTTACAAGAGAAAACGGGCAACCAAGGTAAGTCAGCAGCTTTCTGCCCCAGAACCGGAAGCCAAAAAGAGAGCATGCCTCTCTCTGGCAGTGCCTTTTATTACCTCCTCCCTACCTGCCTCTAGCTACACCCAAAGTGGGCATGGCTCACTTTTCAGTCCTACAATTCCTACAATTCTCCCTTTTAGTCTAAAGAAGATATTTAAACTTAAAACAAAACTAACTTGTGTCAATGAACAAAATGTCTCAAACATCTATCCCATTTAACCTAAGCTTATCTGAACGAAATACCCACGTCTGAACACCTCTTCCAAGCCCAACCCTAAAATAATTGAAAACTAACACTAACAGGTGTAAATTATCCTGCAATCTCAACAATAGGGAGAGGGGGTGTGGAATTCTCAAAACTACTTCCTGCTGAAATGGGACGATGACAATCTCATGGGGACCTGTGGGAAGAAAAATGTTAGTGTAATAAGAATCTTAAGTAGGTTAGACAGTCTCTGTTTAGCAGGAAATGCTTGAATGAAGTTCTCGACTGGAGTTCTAGTGTTGATTGAAGCTCTTGTCCGAAGCTCTGGCCAGATTTTAGAAGGTGCGCTGTATCAATTGGTCTGAAGTTGTGTCGAGTGATGTAGTTTCAAGCCAGTTTCAGGATGGTGCTTGTCAGGTGGAGTCGATGATGTGGGGCCCCATTTTCTTTCCGAAGTGGTTGAAGATTGCTGTCAGGAAATTCCTTGTTCTCTGGGAAACTCAAACATTAATGTTAACAAAGAAAATTTTAAAAGGCAACAATAAAGGAGATAGTAAACATGAAGGAAATTAGACTTTCAGAAAAAGAAATCCATAGATGACAGTCCCTAATTTTGTTTTCTTCTGATATATCCCATTTCTAGAGGGTCTTCTCTTGCCCCTCCCCAATTTGAACTTTCCTAGCTAGATTGTTTCTGTTAATTTTATGAATTTTGGAAGGCAATATTGACAATGACTTATTGCTGTCATTGACATATGTTGTCATGAATGTAAATTACATATTTTCTGATGCTGGAATCACAGGGTCATTCTTCCATTTCTTAAATAAGCCTAATTACCTTTGTCACATATCAATACATTCATGTATATATGTGCATTTGAATATGTGTATATGAATATGCATATGTTTCCATGTGTTGCTGTACATCACACATGTATCAGATTTGCTGATACTATGTACATTTCTTTAGCATAATTTAAGCTGTGTTCTCAGTTGATCTCTGAGATTCATTTCTTATAATGCTACTATTTCAGCCTTACTACCTAGATTATCATGATGATTACAACCTCAGCCTGAGTTGGGAAGCTTTCCCTTTTTGTCTGAAATAACTTATGAAATGCTTACATTATATATTCCTTATGGATTTGATCAAAATACACCCAAATCTAATCTTGTCGTGCCATATGTTCGAATTCATTATGCACTTAGCTTATGTGCTTTTAATAACAAAATATTGAAACCAAAAAAGCTTGAGAACATTTCCTACTAAGTTGTGTATGTTCAAGGGTGCTGACTTGGTTCCACTGGAGATGTTAAAGGGCAACGAGTCTGACATAGGAAAGAGAATAATGAAGGTAAAGAGATGGGATTTTGTGGAAATCAGAGCCCTCGTCTTCGGGAGAGGAAGGAGAACCCTGAGGAGTCGTGGTTTGTGAAAGTGGGGTTTAGTTGGAGAGTTTGTCTGTGTAGAAATTCTCACATGGAGACCTTGATAGATTCAGTAGGAGGTAAAGGTGTGTGATACGCAAAGTTGAGGCAGGCAAACATCGATGAGAAATGCAACAGAAAATCTAAATGAAGAAATTCTACAGTTTGTTTGAGCTTTGACTGACTGTTGTCCCCATAAAAGTACACAGGATATTTTTGTTGGGGGAACACATTTGAATTTCAATTAATGAAATGCTACAGCACTGACCACTATGCTGGTAACTCATTTTCCTTCCTTACTCAGCTTCTTTTTACTTCTTGGGGATATTTTCAGAAGCACCTTTGTTTTGTTATTGTTGCTGTTCCTTAGAATAGAAGCCTAGAGCTGAAATGCTTCTTTTCATCGGGCTCCTACTGTCTCTACCGTTCCCCCTTTTAACTGACAAATGCATGCTGAACAAGTTAGCTGATTATTTTCTGATATTGGTGATAATTTTTTTCTGCTCTTACATGGGTGGCATTTCTCCACCAGCAAGCAAGGTCAGCCTTGTCTCTGTGATCTTTCCCTCTTGCATTTTGGACAGGATCTGAGTTCTCACCTCTGGGGTCTGCAAGTTCTAATTAATGAAGTGAGATGCACTCCCTCCAGCCTGGAGTCTGGATCAAGGCTCTTTGTTTGTGGCTTCTCATCTAAATGGTGATGCCTTTGGGTTTAAGAATCATGTCAGCTCTTCTGGTCTGAGTGACATGTAGAACTACCCCTGAAGCTCACCTGCTACCTGTCTGCTTTAGTGGGCTATGTTCTTTAGATTGCACTTGAATCCATGACCTTTCAGTGAATCAAGTCATGCCCTCTGACCCTTGACTCCTTGGTTTAACCTGAAAATGTATATTTTCTTAAACCCCTCCACCCTTGGTCTCACCTCTAATCACCAGTCCAACTAACACCATCCCAGCAACTCTTACATTTCTGTTTACATGGCTTCTGCCTACATTGTATATTTGTTGATTTTAGTATCTAACATTCTTACTCTCATTCTCTATACTTTCCACAGCATTCTCTCTGTCAGTGACACATTCCTATTCCCATGATCTTTCATTCAGTAAGTTAAGTGCTCTCTTGAAAACTTGCAAATGCTTTCTTGTTACATCTTCTATGAAGCCCAGTTGTCACAGATTGTAGCTGAATTTCCCTGTGGTTTACATGTATGTACCTCTTGGATTGCAGTCCAGCATTTCTTAAGCTGCTGTTACTTTTTCTTTTCTTCATCCTTCCTCCTTCCCCCTTCCTTCTTAATTCATTAACTCTGAAAAAGTACCACTCATTCCTAAACTTTAGCTTCACACCTGACTCTGCAGCCACCACAGTCAAGGCACAGCTTCTGTGCTGTAGAGGGCAGAGCTTCGGTCTTCACCTCCCATCACCTGGAAGTACTGAAATTGTAAGGATGATTGTATGAGATACAGAGAGGAATCTGTGGTCTTCATGTTGGAATGAGGATGGCTAGATGAGATGGGGCCAGATGGAAACCACAATTCTCATGTTCGAAATAAGATGGTTAGATGTTGGGCTGGAGAGATGATGGCTCAGTGGTTAAGAGCACTGATTGTTCTTCCAGAGGATCCTGGTTCAATTCCCAGCACTCACATGGCAGCTCACAACTGTCTCAATTTCCAGGGGGCAGCCAGACACCCTCATATAGACATGCATGCAGGAAAAGCACCAAAACACACAAAGTAAAACTAATTTAAATAAGCAAAACAAAACCAAAGTATGTTTTTAAAAAGTGTGGTCTCATATGAGGTTGGTTCAGAGGTTTGCATGTTAGCCCTACCTGCTCTTCTAAGACATATGTTCTGTGATTCTGGATGACTCTCCCTTTCGTTATTCCCATCAGCCTCTCCTCTCTGTAGCTGTATAATTCCTGTAACCAAATAGACACGTATGATTTATATTTATGTTTATAGAGACATTAACACTATTGCCCTAATGGCATTATAATTTCTTAGAAGGATCATTTACTAATAACATATTGCCACACTGATGTCTTGTGTATACATAGTTATAAATGAATAGTTGTTTTAATTGACTTATGGTAAGCATGAAAAAAAATCTATGTATGTAAAATGCTGCATGTGTTACATGACAAGAGTTTTCTGTACTAGATCTGTTTTTATCTTCAGTGTCTGTTCAAAGAGTCTTGCCTTTCTTTAAAACAACAACAGCATTGGTTTGACAGTTAGCATATGCCCATTTAGTCAGCATGATATTACTCAAACACTAAAGCAAAGAAAAAGAACAACCAATTATTTGGTTGGTTGCCAAGGAAGAGGAGAAGGTACCCTGAAACAGGCAAGCACTTGCTGCCTGTTTCTTCAGTGCCAGGAATGAGGCATGGTTCAGAAACAGTGTTACATCCCTCTTCACACGCTGTCATTTCATCATAATAGGCTCTGATAGGTTAACTTCTAATCAGAGTTAGCAGTTCTTGAAAACATAACAACAAAGAGCCTGGCCCCTTAGATTGGCTGTTTCCTGATTTCCCTGAGAAACAATGCCAATGATCGCTAGGAGTAGCTACAAATTTCTCATTCATAAAGGACCAAATGTGTTTAACAAGTCTAATTTTCAGGGCCAAAATATAAATGTAATTGGCCTGGATTGGAGGTATTCATTTGAAAGAGGGAGAGGTGCTGTGCTTTTGTCCCTGCTTCTATGCCTCGTGGGACTGGTCAGTGTGCTGACCTTGGTCCTGGAGTGTTGGGAAAAGGTCTTTATCATTCTCTATTCTTTGAATGGGTAGTGTGAAGTGTGGATGCTCCTCCTGCAGCCGAAAGCAACACGCCCATCTGGCTTATAAGTCACAGCCAAACCACAATGTTTGCATTGCTTTTTACTGAGTGGCCGGACACCTTCTTTGTTGTTCAGGGTTAATGTATGGATTATTTGAAATCTGGATTTAAAAAAACCCTCCAGTGGCAGCTAATGATTCCACCAAGGCCACCCCCCACAAGGCCTTGCTGCTCTGTTTGCTATCTGATCTGCCCTTTCTGTCATCCTGAAGGAAGATCATTCATTTTTACATTTTGTATTTGTTTCTCCTTTTTATGTTTAGAAATTGGCCCCTGGTTACGGGAGTTCAGAGCAGAGAATGCTGTGGATTTCTCGCGGTTAACATTTGACCCGGGACAGAAAGAACTCATCGTAGGAGCAAGGTGAGACAATGCGTTTTGCTCCCACACATATTTTATGACTTCATTGTATATCTGTGCCGTGACACCCAGGTTTCTTGACTGAAATCAATGTGCACTGAATAATGTGATTTCATCTGAGAATGAAGTGTTATGCGCCTGCCATGTGGTGCATCCCCAGAAAGGGAGGGTACGGGCTCCTCGCTGCAAGCATGGGTCAGCCCCTCCCTCCTGCAGCAAGTCTTCAGATCTGAATTCAACCCAAGGAGGGTTCTTTCTGGGTTCTGTTCTTAAGTTATAGATGAGGAAAGTGAATAAACTTGAAGGCCAAAAGTAAATAAACTTGTTGTCCAGAAGCAAACACCCTATGAAAGTTGGTTCCAGTTTCCAAGGCAGACACGTTGACCCAAGAAAACATGTTCTTGACTGCTGTGGGTTTTTCCATAGAGTTCAAGAGACCATAAGCCTCCATGTGTTTGATGTGTTTGTGTCTCTGCACACACACAGGTTACCGTTACCTCTCTCTCTCTCTCCCTCCCTCGTTCTCTCTCTCTCTCTCTCTCTCTCTCTCTCTCTCTCTCTCTCTCTCTCTCTCTCTCTGTGTGTGTGTGTGCATGACTATGAATATCCCATTTCCAGGAAGCTGAGAGTTCAAGAGAAATATCACCATGACTCTCCTTGGGGTGATCAGACACCTGACACCTGTGTGTAGTCAGGACCTGTGTGCTTCTGGGTTCAGGAAGCCAACCCACAGGTTTAGAGTTGTCTCCATCGTTTGAATGATAAATCTCAAAATGATGAGGGTGTCCAGGGGGTGGGAGTGAGGAGCATCAGGATGGAAAACTGTGGTTACAATGTAAAATGAAATTTTAAAAATTAATTAATAAAAATGTGTGTAATTTCTGCATTCAGAAAGATGCCATATATAAATATGGATTCTTCTGGAACCTGAGGAAGGTATCTTGAGCATCTTTTATATCAGGAACATTTTACATTATAAAACACATATTTTGTAGAAGGAAAATTTGTAAAATTCCTCCGTAGACCAGAGTGAAGTTCGACTTAAATTGTGTTCTGGCTCTTGCAGATAAACATAGACTGTCTCTGAGAATCATCTCCTTTTAGAGCCTATGTCAGAGCATTTGGGAGGGAATAAAGGGTCACTGACTCAACTCTATAGACCACAGTTCATCTGTTGTTTGTAAGAAAACCTGACATGTCTTCAATATGCAGGTAGCATGATATGCAATTATAACTATCAGAGAAGTGCCTTGGAGGAGGTGTCCTAGGTCACAGTGCTGGGGGGGGGGTTCTGGGTCACAATGCTGGAGAGGAGGTGGCCTGGGTCACATAGCAGGAGAGGAGGTGGCATGGACTACAATGCTGGGGGGGTGCTGTGTTGCACACTTGTGAAGACACTGAGTGTGAGCCAGACAGATTTTTGATGTCTTTTTTCTCTCTTTGAACTGTTGTTATGACAAGGGGGTTTCTGATGTTGATCTCATCACATTCCGTTGCTCAGAGTGTGGGCTGTACAAGGCAAGGGTTTTATATTGGCCTCCTGGCCTCTAGATTATTCTTCTCCTTTTGTAACCATAGCTAACGTCCTATTTTTATGTAATGGCTACATTTGGGAACACCATTGGCCATGAATTGAGTCACTAGTGTGACTGCTAACATGATGCCTTGTCTCATAATTTCCCATATGGTCTAGGCCTATGGAATTATTCAGGTTTCCCATAGCTATGCAGTAACTTTCCTTTGGGATCAGGTTTAAGTTTTTTTCTTTAATACTGGCTAATTCCTCAATCAACCCATGCCAAATTTTTCTTCTTGGTTACATCCTCTCACTCAGAAGGGCCTGACTCAATATCTTCTACTGATTGTGAACATTGCCTGCTTTGGCTGGTTCCATTAGTTCCAAGGGTCTACTTTGATGACTATGCTGTTGAGAGTATTGTATTGTTTCTTCACAAGTGTCATGTTTTTCCTAGGTAACAAAGTATGGGTTAAGCCTTTTTTATTTGTTTGATTGTTTCATTAAAATGTAGCATAGTGTCTTCCCACTTGCAGAAACCTAAAAATATCAGACTTTCCAATATGCTTAATTTAAGACTTGATGGGTCCATTCATGCATCTGTGGGGAAATTTTGAGAAAACAGGATTAGAATGACCTCAGGATTATTCCAGATACTTACATTTGGAATGAGCGTGAGCAGGTCACAGGCTGTACACCTTACAGCTTGCCTTTGACTGTGATGCAACAGGAAGAGTCCATTTCCTCAAAAGCAGGAGCAAACATGGCCCTAGCCAGGGTTGATCCTGCATTGCCCAGTCTTCTTTCAAACCTTTTTAAAAGGTTTTCCATAGGCTCAACTCAAGATTTTCCATCATCTCTGGAGGACTGAAACATTTTAACATTTGGTCAAAAACCAGCTTCTCTTAAGAGACGTGAGAAGACATGGAGTAAACTGAAGATGGTACAGGCTGTTTCCTGCTCCTACTCTGGGAGCAGTAGTAGCTAGAGATGGTGCTCTGTGGAAAGTTGTCCTTAAGTGCCCCTGTCTGAACAGCTGTGCTAGTTTTCATAGCATTGCTTTCCAAGCCCTGTTTGTTGGGGAAGTCCTGTGTATATGTTAATAAATTACTGCTGGCCAATAGGAATCTAGATAGGTGGGGCTAGGAGTCCAGGAGGATTCTGGGAAGGAGAAACACAGAGAGTTCGAGATGTAACCGCCATGGGGTAGGAATCCCAGAACTATTCTCCGGTAAGAGAAATACTTAGATTAACAATTATGGGGTAATTACTTAAGTCAGAGCTAGCCAGTAAAAAACAAGCAAGGCCAACAGCTTCATAATTAATACAGTGTCTTGTGTGTTTATTTGGGGACTACAATGCGGCAGAGCCCAGGCGACTGGCGGGTGATAAACCAAAGCGGCTAGCAAAGAAAAAGCTTCTCTTAACACCCGTTCCTTTGGAAGAGAATGGATCAGTACCTGAGTCACCCTAGTGGGCAGTGTAATGTGGTATCCAGAAGGAAGGCAGATAGAATACAGTAGGTCAGTGACAGCTGAATTTCAGAGAAACAAACCATGAGGTTGTATAGTGTGTTTTGCTAGCCTGCAGACTCTAGAGACACAGAGTGTATCTTATATTCTAGAACAACATTTAATACATGTGGGTACTTGATAAATGAGGAAGGAAGAAATAGGCTGGGTTTCCTAAACTGTGACCCAGAGCCTACTTCTAATTCTCTCATCTTTAAAATTGATATAATAGTTTTCACGCTTCCAGCTGTTGTGAGGATTAATGAAATAGTCCATGACAAACTGTTGCCACAGTAACATGCTGCCAGCAAGCCACAGTGTGAGGAAGCTGTGGACTTTCCCGATGAGTCCATGTCACACACATACTGACATCAGGCAGGTAAGGATGGAGCAAGGAATTTTAACTTCATCTATGAAATTTGGTGGGATTAGGCTCAGCACATTTGAGAGGAAGTCTGACCCCTTATAAAACTTTAAAAATAGCCCAGCCCTCAGGTTCTTTTCGGGAAGGCAAGACAAGTTTGGATAACATGTGCATCTTTTTCAGAAACCAGTAGTGGTTTAAAAATATGAGCTGCGGAAAAAATAGAACAGGTCTCTTTATTTTGTTCATAGTTTGCAGTAGATATTTTGAGACCATTTCCGGGCCAGTTTCCCTTTCTATTAGGGGTGCTTCATGTCCTCCAGAGTGAAGTTGGTTAAACAGCCTTAGCACTCTTTGATAAGGAGAGCTTATGGTGCAGGAGAAGAAAAGAATGCCTCTTCAGATTATTTGTGCTTCTACAGCACCTGAAGCTATTTGAATTGAAATCCATGCAATTTCTAGACGGGTTCACTCCTTTACCATTTCAAGGTGTATGGTTACTATTTTCTTTCCTTTTTATAAAACATAGCACTTATTCTGATTCCATAGGGTGAGTTCTCATCATCGTGGGGGCATGACAAAAGGCAGACAGTCATGCCAATGAAGCAGTAACAAAGAGCAGAAAGAGAGAAAACTGGATCTAGCAGGAGATAACTTCTCAACCTAGTGACAGATAAACTCCATCAAGGCCACACCTCCTAATCATCCCAAACAGTTCCACCAACTTGAGGAATGAAGCACTCAAAAGTATGAATCTATGGGTGGGGGTCTCATTCAAACAACCACAGGCATGTAGAAATCTCTAAGGGGATTCTTCTCAATAAGTAGGTTTGAGGCTTCATAATCTAGCAAACATGCATGGCATTATTTCACTGTTACTTTAAGAAAAGATTACAGATGCAATACAGAATGCCTTCCTTAAGGGATTTTTATTAATTACAGTATAATTTTATAAATTAATTGTAGTGGAAAATTAATTATTTTCCTTTTTCTTTCTTTTTGTCTTCTTTGATTTTTTTTCTATTTTTTACACATTACTCTCAGTTCCCTCTCCCTCCCCTCCTCCCCAGGCTCCCCAATCCTTCCAACCACCCCACTCCATCCCCTTTTTGTTCCCATGGAAGGTAAGGGACTCCATGAGGATTTTCAGAGTCTGTCATATCATCCCAGGCAGGGCCTAGGCCCTTCCCCATATGTCTAGGCTGAGAGAGTATCCTTCCATGTGGAAAGGACTCCCAGAGTCTAATTGTATACCAGGAATAAATACTGCTCTATTCTCCAAGGTCCCCTAGTTTGCCGAGGCCTCTTCTCTGACACCCAGGTTTGGGGGGGTATCTGGATCAGTCCCATACTGGCCTCTCAGGCATCAGTCTGGTGTCCATGTGTTCCCCCTTGTTTAGGTCAGCTGCCTCTGTGGGTTTTGCCAGCCTGGTCTTGATTCCTTTGCTCATCACTCCTCTTTGCAACTGGGATCCAGGGGTTCAATTCAGATTTTAGCTGTGAGTGTCTGCCTCTGCTTCTGTCAGCCACTGGATGAGGGTTCTAGGATGGCATGTGAGGTAGTCATCAATCTCATTATCATGGGAGGGCATTTAAGATAGCCTTAATGCTA